CACAGACACACAAGTGCCAGTGTGTACATGTTTTCGCGTGCGGTCTCCCCCTCGAGGATCATGAGAATCACGTGACTTATTCTGGGGAGAGTCTCCCGTAACTCGTCCGGATGGGTTTCCGTCAGGAAGTGTCTGTAGCGGCTTGTCGGGGGCGGGTGGGCTGAGCAGGTGTGGCTCACCCTGTGCTCCCGCAGCGGCACTGAGTCTCCTGCGGGATTCTGATCCTCGGCTGTGACTCAGACGTGACAGATGGAGTAGCTCCCGTTTGTGTCAAAGGAGACTGAGTAGGAGAAGATAAGTAACCGCCCCAAAAAGGAAAAATGTGTTTACCTGGACACGGGTGACCCTGGAGACCAGGGGGCGACCCTGGAGACGGGGCACAGGCGGCTGCCGCCCCTGCGCTTACGGCAGTACTGACTCCCCCCGGTGGGGGGCGGGTGACACAGACTGTCCGTGAGGGCCCAACGGAAGGGGCTCTGGACAGTGGGCAGGTCTGAGCGCCCCCGAAGCCCAGCGAGCGCTGGTGACCAGGGTGGCCACGGCCCTGCTGACCTTCAGGTGGACAGGGAGCTGTCCCAGGTAACTGGGGCAGCCATGTGATCTGAGCTCGGGCTGTGGAGCGGGAGGCGGGCAGAACCTTCCAGAAACCAGCGAGGCCTTTCCCATCCCTGCACCGCTTCCCGGAGCAGCGAGCTGGCCGCCCCATGCGAGGGTTTGCGGGTCCTTGTCCTGGTTGCACCGCCACCGCTCGGGAGCCCGTCCCGCCAGCCGCGCTCCGAATTGGGACACCCTGTTTGCAGCGAGCCTTCATTCTAGCAGCTCGGCCCAGGCAGCACTTTAGAACCACCTGGAAGCCTTGAAAACCGGGCCAGTCGGGTCAGGGTCCCCGCGGTGGCGAGGCTGGGGTTCCTGGCGTGAAGCAGGGGTCACCTGGACTCGCGGGGTCATCCTTGCGCAGTGACGGCCTTGTTTCCGTGGGTTCTGTCACCCCTCTCCTTGCAAGGGAGGGGAGACCTGCCCCTGGTGAGGGAGGGAGGCCCACCCAGGGAGAGCAGCCCACGGAGTGTAACGTCCTTGAACCTGTTCTGTGCAGTCAACTGCCTGGATCAGCACGTCTGGAAGTCCCCGGAGAGCGTCGCTTTGATCTGGGAGCGCGATGAGCCTGGAACCGAAGTGAGGATCACCTACAGGTACGCAGTGTCCCCGATGGTGGGCGTCTCTGTGCCCGGCACCGGCCCCGGGCTGTGAACAGGCGGAGGCCCGGCCCGCTCTTCCACAGGGGTGATACTTGGAGTCTTTAGGTCCCGCGGCAGGAGCCAGTCTTTGGAGACAAGTATGACGAATGTTCAGGGCACAGGGCAGGTCCTGGCACCGTCCTGCGTGCCTGTGGCCGACTCTGGGTGGGGGGTTATCTGCGTATCGGGGCCGTGTTGCCACTCTGGAGCTGACCTCTGCTCTCGGCAAGAGCAAACATGAACATGCACTGAACGAAACACGCTGGGGTGACAGCGGCGCAAGCAGCAGGCATGTCGTTAAAAAGGGCCACACCTGGCGTTTGTATCTGTGAGGCCTCAAGTTCCTCATATGTTTGATGTGCCAAGCGGTCTTCTGGACGCTGCTTGTGTGTTGGGGGGTGGAGGGGGCCCGGTGTCCGGGACCAGGCCCTGGCCTTCCCAAGGCGCTGCCCTTCCCAGGGCGGCCTTGCTCCCGGTCCCTGTGGCCTGTCACTGCTGAAAATGCCTTCGCTCAAGCATCCACTCGCTTTCAGCACCATCTCAGCTCCACCATGAGCCCAGCCCTGGGTCCCTTCACCCCTCCATCAAGTAGTTGTGGGTGACGCTGTCCTGGTGGGTGGCCGCCGTGCTTCTTGCCAGTCATTCCTCCAGTGTCCCTGAGTGCACGGTACCATTAAGGCAGGCGGAGGTACGCTGTAGTCACAGACGGTCCCCAACCACACGGCCGAGTGTAGCCAGGGGGTCACTTTGGGTCTCAACAGTCAGAGAGGCCTCTCTGAGGAGTGGCGTTCAAGCTGAGGTCCTGGGAGACGGGGTGGGGGTGGGCCATCCAGGCCGGAGCAGGGCGTCCAGGGAGCAAGTGAGGTGCAGGTGCACAGGGCTGGGGCAGGGGAGCCAGGGGACGTGGTAGTGGGAGGATGTTCAGATGGACAGGTCCAGACCCTGGGGCTGAGCACAGCAGTCGCCCGTCCCTTGGGGACCCCAGGTGTCCTGCCAGTTTTTCAGACTCTGGTTTTATCACAGACCAAGTGCACCAGCCCTTGCGAAGCTGTAGTCAAGGTGACCCCTAGATGCAGGGGTGACGCCTGTTAAGTCTGCCGTGGCTACATTTAGCGGGCACTGCCCTGCTTGTGCCTCGCCCGCCCCCAGCACTCCTCGCGGTCACAGTCCATCCCAGCCCTTCCTGCCGGTCACCTCCCTGACCTGGGTCCCCGGACAGACCTAGCTGCTCCCACTCGTAGAAGATCACGGCTCTCTGCGGGGCTCGGGGGTGTGGAGGGGGTAAGGCAGCCCAGCCGTGGACTGATCTCCTTCTGTCCTCCAGTGGGCCACCCCCGGGCCCGTGTTGGGCAGCGTCTGCGAGCCGTGCTCAGCCAGCCTGCCGAGTATGTGGTTGTAACCATGGGGGCGGCTCAGGACTGCAGCCAGCTGGTTAACACAAAGAACAGCTTCATTTCCATTGCAAAGCAGCCCAGGGCAGGGGACAAATGTCTAAGTACATGGAAGGAATTTATTATCCTCTCTCTAAAAATAAACAGACTTGCCTGAAATGGTTTTACACACTTGAGCCGGTCTTGGTGCCAGGTGCCCGTTACCTACTGTTTGCGTGAAAGGAGAATTGTGTGTCTGCAAGGGCAGCTGCTCTGAGGCACTGGGATTAATCATTGTCCTGGTCGTGTTAGGGTTTTGGTGTGAGGTTTTCTTCCTCGTCTCGGAGGACTGCCCGCACTTCAGGGCTCGCTGTCCTGCCAGCACACAGACTGCCACTAGAATGAGTGCATTCCTGCCAAGTGTCCCACGTGGTAGCACCCAAGGTGCCCTGGACGGTCACAGGCCTCAGCGGCCTGAAGACAAGTTCCAGACCCACAGCCTGAGCCGTGGAAGGAAACCGCACGGGGCTGCAGTTCCAGGGGCTGGCGTTTCCCGGGGACCAGGCCACCTCGTCTGTCGGAAGCTGAGGACCCATCTCCTGTGCCAGGTGGCCAGACAGCTCCTCAGGGTCTGCTGGGAGCTTTGAGGAGGTACATTTCTGAAGAGTCATCACAGAGCTTGTGATGGGAACCCACTCTGCCCCAGTGGTCGTGACACCCTGCCCAGCCCAGGAGAGTGGCACCGTCCCGGGGCTTGGCAGATGCGCGTGTGCACACCCACCTTGCGTACACTTTAAACGTGCTCATTCTCCGTGCACATTTCTACAGCCTGCGCCTATGCCCCAGGATCCTTTCTGGAGACCTCTCCGGGCTGCGGGGACCGCCCTGTTCCCGCCTTGGAGGTTGGGCTGCTGCCTGAGGGCCATGTAGCCTTCGAGAATCTGAATACCAGCAGATCTGAATGCCATTGTATATTTGCGGCCGCAGCTCCCTGGGGCAGGGAGGCCTGGTGGGACCAGCTTTGGGAACCCTGGGGGGCCCGCGTGTTCTCATTCTGTCCCCACCCCACCTGCCCCATCGGTTCCTTCCCTCTGCAGCACTGGCTGGCGCTGGGCCAAGGCCCTGGGGGCACACTGGGCAGTGTGGTGGGCCTCCTGCTGGCACGGGCTGCGTGGGTCTGGGAAGAGGACAGCCTCCTTCATGTGCAGTGCTCACTCCCGGATGGGAAGCTGGCCAGGGCAGCGTGGGATGACCTGCACACGTCTCCCATGGCCTGCACACACTGCCTGGGGAAGAGGGCCACCTGTGACCCCAGCCCAGGGCGAGGGCCAGAGGGCCGCCTAGCTGACTTTCATCCTTCCTCTACCGGGGGTGTGCTGAGAACTGGCCTGAGGAAGCTGTTCTCCCCCAGCAAACCAGCAGGACGGCAAACCTGGGCCCCTGGCACTGCCTGAGGCCTCCAAGGCCAGGGCTGCAGAGGCCAGGCGGCACAGATAACCTGGGCGGCTCCCGGAGGCTGTGCGGCCAGATAGCCCCGGGCCCGGTCCTTCCAGCTGTCCCCACGCCTCTTTTGCGAGAAGGTCCTTCCCATCCAGTTCAAGCAGATTCCGGAGGCCCTGGGGGTGGGGATGTGGAGAAACACAAACCTCTTCCTCGAGGCGGATGGTGGTGGTTCAGGACCACTGTCTGCCTGGAGCCTGGGGTCTGGGCCAGGGATTTCCAGTCTGGGGACGGGCGGAGGGCGAGGAGCAGGGCACACAGCTGCGGCTGGTCCCAGCGTCCCTGCACATAGGGACTCTTGGGGGTGGGGGGTGCGTGGTCCCCCAGACAGAGGAGTGGGCCGTCCGAGAGTGTTCACCAGGCTCTGAACTAGGATCTGCCGTCTGAGTTCTCTGAAGAGGGGTCCAGAGGTAACCCTTTTAATTAAGCTGTGACAGGTTTCTGCCCTGGCCGGGACCTCCTCTATGAAGGAGGGATGGGGCGAGGCCAGCGCTGCCCCGGCCCTGAAGGCTGGGCCCGTGTGGTGACAGCCAGGCCGTGCAGCAGGGCTGGGCATCCGGGCTGCGGGGGAGGGGGCACACCTGAGCCGAGTGGGCCCAGCCTCGGAGGCAGTGATGTCTGTGGTCACTCACCTGGGTCCTGTTACTGCAGGAGGTTGTGCACGGTGTCCCGAGGAACAGAGGGGACATCAGGTGCCCCTGCCTGCCTCAGAGCCCCTCGGTGGGCAGGGAGGACGGCCCCTCCCTGGCAGGTTGGTGGGGCCCTGGGCGTTACTGGTCCCTAACTTGCACCGGGAGTACAGGGTGGGGCCTGGCCTTTGGGGCGCCCCTCTGTCTGGGGCAGGCCGACGGGCCCCTGTGGGCAGAGGGGGCTGTGCAGTCTGAAGCCTGGCTGCACCTCCCCAGAGGCTGGCTTGTGCCCCGGGCCCTGGGCGTCTCCATGCCAGGCCACTTGTTAAGGTCACGGAAGTGTCTCCACGGGGCGCTGGCGGGAGGAAGCAGGAAGTCTCGCTCAGAGAAGAGTCCGAGGAAGTCCTAGGGGGGTGGGCTTGAGAAGCAGAGGAGGGGTGGCGTGTGGATGAAGGCCAAGGGGCAGTGGCCGGCCTGCGCGCCGTGGGGGGCGTGGCCAGGTGCGTGGAGGCCTGTGCCTGCTTGCTTTGTCCCCGGCTGCGTGTGACCTGGAGCAAGGCTCCACCTCTCTGACCGTCTCTTCTCTGCAAAATGGAGACTCGCTTCTCCGCTGGGTGGCTGTGTGTTGAGCAGTGCCCGGGGGTGAGAGCCCAGACTGGGGCCTGGGGGGGAGAGTCTGTTCTAGTGAAGCTTGGGGCCAGCTGAAGGGAGGTCAGCAAGGGTTTCAGATTCGACGAGGGAGGGGCACAGGGTGGACGTATGGCTGATGGGGCCGGGAGGGCTGGGACGGGAGTTTCCGGAGGAGAATCTGGGGTTGCTAAAAGGCAGCCTGACCCTTGCACTTGCTCTTCTCACCCCAGACTTAGCGCAGTTTGCAGTGAGCGAGCTCCTTTATTAAAATATTAGAGCAGCTGGCGGGGGGGGGTTCGTTACCTGGAGTAATCAGTCGATGGTGGAGTGCTTTGGGGTGAACCAGACCCGGGGTGGGGGGTGGGGGGCGGGGGCTGTCAGGCAGGGCAGTGGCTTTGTCGGGTGGGCTCCCAGTGGCTGCCCCGCAGACTTCTGAGTAACTCCGATGGCAAAGCTTGGTCGGGAATTCCCATGCTGGCTTCCAGAACCCAGCAGCAGCCTGAGGTTACTTGGATGCAGCTGGTTTTACACGAGCATTTACCTTTCCTTAAGACTCTGACTCCAGATTTTGAAGCTGGGAAGTGCTTTGAATCCTTCTATACCTGACATTATTTTTCTTTCGTTTCTTTTGGGCAAGCCAAGGCTCTTGGAATTTCACATTGTACAGCGGCTCCATCTTGGGACTGCGGCCAGGGGGGACCCCCCAGAGTCCACCTCCTTGACGGGGCCCTTTCTGGGGGGTCCTCTGGCCCCCCTGGAGCTGGGTCCCTGCTTTTGTGAAGCCCCTCAGTGCAAGGGACGCTGGGGGGCGGTGGGTTGTGGGAGA